TGTGCTGACATACAGGAGATGTTCCACCAAGTTGTCATCCGTCCTGAAGGTAGATGTGCCCAGATGTTTTTGTGGCGCAACGGTGATATCCAGCAGACTCCTGACGTGTATAAAATGACGGCGATGATGTTTGGTGCAGCATGTTCCCCTTGTTCAGCACATTATGTGAAGGTGAAAAATGCGATGGAACACAGCAACCACGATCCACGAGCGATCCAAGCCATAACTGACTATCACTATGTGGATGATTACGTTGATAGTTTCCGTTCCGCTTCCAGAGCTATGGAGATATCCAAACAGGTTCGCGACATTCACAAAGACGCTGGTTTCCAGCTTCGGAAGTTTAGGTCGAACTCCTTGGAGGTCGCGACTGCATTGGGTGGTGAAAACACAGCGTTGTCTATTATGTCGAAAGAAGCCATGGAATCTGGAAAAGTTTTAGGAATGTTGTGGCAGCCATCAAGCGACCACTTCACGTACCGTCTGGAGTTCCATGGAGTCGATTCATCAGTCATTAGTGGCGATTTAGCGCCCACAAAAAGAATGCTACTGAGTATCGTTATGTCCATCTTCGATCCGTTGGGATTCCTGTGCCACCTCACCATCACAGCCAAATTGGTTATGCGCGAGATCTGGAAGCGAGATTTAGGCTGGGACGAGCCCGTTCCTAATGAAATCAACGACATGTGGAATAATTTTCGGATGCAGTTGCTAAACGTTGCAGAGTGTAAAGTGCCGCGTCACTATTTCAAGCTGGGTGAGCCAAAAAATCTACAATTGCATATTTTTGTCGATGCCAGTGAAGACGCATTCGGAGCTGTAGCATTCTGGAGGGCAGAGAACCCAGACAATGCGTTGCAAGTGTGTATTGTTTATGCCAGAACAAGAAGCGCACCACTCAAGACGCTAACCATTCCCAGATTGGAGTTGCAAGCTGCCGTGCTAGGGTCCCGTATGATGACGACTATAATAGAAGAGCACACAATGTCTATCGACCGATGCGTCCTTTGGAGCGACTCGAGAACGGTTCTCAAGTGGATAGCCAGTGAGAATCGTCGCTTTAAGCCCTTCGTAGCCCATAGGATTGCCGAAATCCTGAGCGTGTTCACGCCGTCTGAAGAAAATGTGGCTGACGAAGCAAAACGGGTGAAAAGGGGCGTTAACCTCAACCCATCCTCACGCTGGTTCACGGGTCCAGCATTTTTAGGTCAGCCGGAACACATATGGCCAACAGACGATACACCTGCTGCGAACATTGACGAAAACGAAGAGCTTCGGCCGAAGTATGCTTTATTAATTGCTCAGAGCAGCATATTTGAATTTGAGAGGTTTTCATCGTTTCTTAAACTAAAAGGGTCCTTCGTTACATCCACTACAGCAAATCAAGACCGAGCCAGCCTGACACTTCGTCAAAATATGGGTTAATGACCTCCGAACTTGATGCCGCCGAACGTATAATATGTCGCCATTCGCAACGAGAAATATTCGTGAATGAGGTCATTCGATTGGAGAAGGGGCTCAGCTTGCCGAGTGAAAGTCCACTCTACAAACTTTCGCCGTGGATAGATAACGAGGGACTTCTTCGGGTACATGGGCGATTGGATGCTGTCAGCTGGCTAGCTTATGACACGAAGCATCCTATTATTTTGCCGTCTCACCACGTCGTATCGAGGCTCATAGTCGCGCAAGAGCACAAGCGAATGATGCACCAAAATACAGAGGCGACTATTTGCATGATTCGTCAGAGGTACTGGATCCCAAACTTGAGGAAGGTCGTTCGTGGGGTCATCGCCAATTGCAATACATGCAAACTAAAGAAGGCAAAGCTAGTTATACCAATGATGGGGCTACTTCCAGAAGATCGCGTTACGCCATACGTGAGG